ATTTCAAAAAATACTCATTCCAAAGAAAAGAGAATGCGAACAAAAAGTAGATGCAACAACAAATACCTTACACCACACCAGAAGTTATCTCAAAATAGATCATATAACCTAAACATAAAGCTAAAACTATAAAACCTGTAGAAGAAATGTAGGATATTTTTCATGATTTGGGATGGGTAAACATGTTAATACTAAATATGCATGAAGCATAATAGGAAAAAAAAAAAGATGAATTAGACCTTAGCAAAAGACACTTGCTTTTCAGACATTTTGAAAATAAAAAGGCAGTTCACATACTGGGAGGAAGAAATACTTGCATTACCTGTCAGGGAAAAGTATTTAAGGTATGTAAAAGATTCAAGGTAAGACAGACAACCCATCATAGAAATGGGCAAAAACTTCAATAGACACATCACAAAATATGCTTATTACAGAAATGCAAATGCAAGTGAAAAATGCAAATGAAAAAAATCACAATGTGATATCGGTAGCCTACTAGAATAGCAAAAATAAAATTAAATTAAAAATTAAACTGATGGCGCGCAGACCTCTCCTGCTGCCCGCTGCTCCCCTCAGCAGTGTACTTCCGTCCTTCTGCCTGCTCTGCTCCCTGCTCTGGCTGGTGAATTCTCTCACCCTCCCGCGCTTCTGACTGTACCCAGTGCATGTACAAACAAACAAACAAATAAATAAAACATGCCCCTATTAAAAAAAATTAAAAAAAAATTAAACTGAAAATAACAAGGTTATGGAGCAAGAAGAAGACTTGTACATTATTATTGGGAGGATAAAATGGTATAATCACTTTGGAAGACTGCAGTTAAGCATACTTTACCCAGAAATTCCACCCATAGGTATTTACTAAAAATAGACTTGCACAAGAATCTTAATAGTGCCATACTTGTAATAATCCCAAAGTACAAACAACTCAAGTATCCATCAACAGGTTTATGTATAAACATTGTAATGCACAGTAGACTACTCAGCCGTAATAAGGAATAACTGATACATAGAACATAGATGCCATAAAAAGTTGACAAAGGAGGCACTGTGAGGAGAAGTTAAGTGTACTATCACCACCCCAGCCTATCTTGGGGGTCCTGGGTTCCTCAACCCACCCAATTCTAGCAGGCCTCCAGAGCCTGTAGCCAACCCAGGGCTTCATGGGGGAGGATGATGTGTTGTATTCAGCACCAGTGCTGTGCAGGCAGCTAGCAGAATTCAGCAAAAATCCAATGGCAGTGTTTTCAGTAGGTGTAATAGTTGACAATGATCTCTACCAATGGGAAGTCCTTATTATAGGTCCTCCTGATGCACCTTATGAGTTTTTAAGGTAAATCTCACTTTCCCGAAAGATTATCAACCCCCACCCCACCCCTTGGCCTCCTAAAATGAAATTAATTACTGAAAAGATAACACCCAAATGTTGATAAAAATGCTTATGTGCATTTCTAGTCTTCATGAGTCTGGGGAAGATAAATACAGTTATGGAAAGCCAAAGGAACAATGACTCCCTATTGACATCATGGAAACCGTCATGAGTACGGTGCCACTTCTAGACTGGCAGACCCTTAATGGAGACTCACTTGCTGATGTTGATGCTGCAAAAGAAAGGAGGGAAGACAGAAATAAGAGAATTCAAAAGGAAAGTGCGCAGTGTAAGAAAAAGCGAAAAGACTGCTTTTAAGTGACATTTCATCAACAGCTTTAATTTCACTTATTTCAGGGTCTCCAATTGAAACAAGGCACAATTTTTCCTGCACTGTACCTACCTATTGCTGGACTTCTGTTGTAACAAGTTGGCAAACACTGGTTGGAACTGGGCCGCAATAAAACATGCTGGTATTAATGCTGTCAAAAGTCTAATGTTCCAATTTATAGATTATGCACTTTGAATTCTATTGAATTTAAAATTTTTAAAAAATTTTTTATTAAGGTAACTTGTACTCTACCGTGCATGATGTAGGGCACTGATTGACACTTCTTCAGATGTTATTACACCACCACCAAAACACCCATAATCTGCCATCATTGCCCATTGTTTACCCCTTTACTCTCAATCCCCTATTCTCCCCACCTCTGGTAGCCTCACTTCTGCAGTCAGATTTCTAGGATTTGCTTTGTTTCCTTATATTCCACATTAGTGAAATTATCCAATATTTACCTTTATTCTTCTATTTTGCTTAGCATAATGTCCTCCAGTTCTCCCCATGTTGTTGCAAATGGCATTATTCTCACTCTTTTTTTTAATAGCTGAGTAGTATTCTATTGTGTATATATACCACACCTTCCTTAATCCACTCAACTGTCATTGGACAGCTGGGTTGTTTCCATAACCTAGCTATTGTAAACAGTGCTGCAGTGAACATAGGAGTTCATATATATCCCTTCCAGTTAGTGTTTTTGTATTCTTTGGGTAGGTACTTAGGGGTGGAATTGCTGATCAGAACTGTTGTAACCTTTGAGAAGAGTTGTAAAGACTTGTACATAAAACATGATTCCGATTAAATATATGCTTATTTATTATATATATAAACTGTTCATGTATATCCACAAATGTACCTTTTACCAAATAATGCTTTCTTGTAGAATAAGAATTGTGTAAATCTCAAAGATTTCAGTAGGGTTTCTTTCCCTATTATTTCTTTTTTTTTTTTTTTTTGGGACCCTTGCTGGCGGCCGGGGAATGAACCGGCACTGCAGAGGCTGTGGGCAGCCTCGCAGCCCAGTGCTCAACTGCTGTGCCACCAGGGGAGGCCCCTCCCTATTATTTCTTAACAGTTTTAAAAGACTCCTTAAAGCATGTCACATGAAAAGCAATTAGGATGAAAAGTTTCCATATAATTTCCTTTAAACCATCAAGGCTTCATTAAACTCTCCTCTTACTAAACTTCTGTATCGTCTTTGTTTTGACACCCTCCTTTCCGCTTATGTCTCTTCTATCTGCCAGAAAGGTTTTTAATCATTTAGTTCAAATACTGAAATACTTAATAAGCAATTACTTGATTTTTAGTAACTTCGGAGGAGAGGTCTTCACTAGGTGCTTTGTCCTATATTCTAGTTGCATCCACTGCTTGGATTGGATGAAGCAACAACGTATTTTGGTTGTTGAGAGTTCTCAATCCCAGTCATTAGTCAAGAACTGAAATGAGTTGGTTGTGAATTAAACTCATTGATAATTAAAAACAAAAATTAAAAAAAAAAAACCACCAAAAAACAAAAGAAAATTTCCCCTAACAGAAAATTCTGATTTGTTTTTACTTTTGCCCTGCACTTACCTAATGGTAAGGTTGGAGGAATTAAGTTTGCATAGCCCCAGGCTTTGAATTTAATTTCAGGGTTTGCTGTTAAAAATGCATTTACCATCACACCCTTTTGGCCTTTATATTTCTCTGCCTCAATTTTTCTCTATTGCATTTTCCCCTATCTACTGTACAAAGGAATTGTAGCATTTATTTTCATTTCATATTTGTCATTGTAGTGATTCTTTCCAAAATATTTTACCAATAATTGTCAAGTTGTTGGCTTTTACTGTATTGAGTGATGGCCATAATTCTTTTTAAAATTGCTGAATGAAAGTCAGACACAAAATATTACGTACTGTAAATCTCATTCACATGTAATTTAGGAAGAAGTAAAATTTGTCTTTAGTTACAGATCACTAGTTGCCTGGGAGCAGATATAGGCATGGTAGGTTGACTGGAACAGAAGGGAACTTTTTGGCATGTTGGAAGTATTTTGTATCTTGACTGCAGTTGGTAGTTACATAGGTATGCACATTTTTTCAAAATTAGTATCAAAACTTAAAAAAAAAGAGTGCGTGTTACTCTATAAAGTGTACCTCTATAAAATTGATTTGAAAAGTACCCTCACCCCATACAAAAATAACTGTTTTAAAAGTGGAATAATTTCAAACATTATAGGTTTTTTACTGGGTAACTGAATAATCGATAGAAGCAGTCAGAAAAGGTGACTGCTTCAATTTTAAGACCCACACTTAAAGGTTTTCTTGTTTTTCAAGAAGCTTTTATTAAAGTTACCATCAGTGGTGAGGTTATTTTCTTGGTCTGTGTGCTTGATATCAAGTGTTGAGGTCTGTGAGATGTAGAGGTTATTCTTTCGCAGTTATATAGGTGGGGAGACATTCCAAGACCCCTGAAACCACAGGTTGATTAAACCCTATATATTAGTTTGTGTGTGTATATATGTGTGTATATTTTTTCCTATACATACATACTTATGATAAGTCTAATTTATAAATAGGCACAGAGATTACCAACAAAAACTAATAAAATAAAACAAATTCACAATCTGCTGTAGTAAAAGTTATGTGAACATTGTGGGTTTTTTTCTCTGAAAGTGTCTTATTACACATAATATTTTCAGACTGGGGTTGACCACGAGTAGCTGAAACTGCATAAAAATAAAACCACACTAAGGGAAGATGTACATGGATGCATGTATGGACTTCCACTACATAGGAGTTAGCATGTTCCATATTTGAACCTACTTCTATTAAATATTAGTAACAGTATTTCACAGGTTGTTTTAAGAATCAAATGAACTTTGTAAAATTGACTACACCAAAAAGCCATATATTTACATGCTGTTTACATTACTCTTCCTCATTTTTGTTCCACCCATTGTGCTTCACAGCACATAGGTAGGCACTGGCTTTGCTATTGGCTCTAGAACCTGCAACTAGTTTCCCTAATAAAAATGATTGTCATTGAGTAAAAAATTAAACTTACATTACTTACCAGTTTATATAGGACATATAGGAGATAGGGTCTTTTAATATAGTAGAAGGTCACCATCATTAATTTTACAACTGATGATTTTATAATAGGTCCTTCTAGGTTTTGATGGTCATTATTGAAGTATAATGCATGAAAGATACGGCCTGTACAAAAGAAGAACAGGAATCTTAATTAGAATTCTGACAGGCCTGCTCCAATAAAATGATGAGATTATTTGTAATTGATGTCACAATCAATTACCATTTAGTTCATCATGAGCATTCTAATAGATCTGGCCTTGGTACTGGCCCCAGGATGTTGCTGAGTGAGTGGCTGCCCTGCTTATGCTGTTATTGAGACAGGAGGGCACATTTTTAGTCAGCATCCTAATGACCTCTTTTGAAGTCTATTAAATTAATGACCCTGTCACACTATTTGAGCTCTTATAACCCCAGTTTGGGGATTGTGTAACAAATTAATGTTTGGGGACCATATGGCAAAAAAGATAGGTCTTTTCATATAGTTGAAATTCTAATATCACTTGCACATATTTAGTAAAAGTTATTTTCCTTGTAAGGATAAAAGCAAAAATGCAAATTATTGGTTGTATATCTACCATATAAAAGACTTTAGGACATTTCTCCCTAATCTGAAAGACATGCTTTTTATATAGTACCTCTTTTTTTTGTTTTTGTTTTTTAAAGGGGCTGTTTTCTTCTTAATTGTAGGTGCCAACAGGTCATGTTTGGTTAGAAGGTGATAATCTACAGAATTCTACAGATTCCAGGTACTATGGGCCTATTCCATATGGACTAATAAGAGGACGTATATTTTTTAAGGTACTGTTTTCTGATTAAAACTAGGCTTTCTTCTCTTAGCTGAAAAAATTCTTTTAAAATAAACTTTGAAATCATCAATCAACAGTGGACTTCACTGTTGCAGTAACTACACTGTATGAATAAGTTGGCCTTTATAGCTATAAACATTACTCCTTCCCTAGATGAGTAATTTGAGATTTTTTTGCTTGACTTATAAAGTTAAAACTACCTTTATTGTAGCATTAAAAAAACCTTTAATTTGAATGGCCCCAAACATATATTACTCTGCATTTGTAGACGCGCAGTCTAGAGTTAAACTATCTGTAATGCAGGGATATTACAGCTAATTCAGTGAGTAATTGACTCACCATAGTGTAGAAAATGTATGAACCTTAGGAAAAATTACTGTTTTCACAGGCTTCTTCTTTTTGTACATGCAGTAAAAATAAAAACAGACATGAATACTAGGGGTTGTTGGATAATTTACAGGATTCTTTACACTTAAACAGATGTTAGATTCAAGTACTTACTTACAGTTAATTCTTATTTGAGGGTTAGTAAAGAAAACAGACACATTCACACACTGCAAACATATAATTTCTTATATATTTGAATGTTCCAAACTTTAGAGTTTAAATATATACACACACACACAAAAAAATTTATTTTAAAGTCTTATTTTCATGTAGAAAATTTGTTTCTGGCAGGAGAATGAGGAGGAGGTATGGCATAGAGAAAAGGGATACATGAAATAAAAAAGTATGATGATTCTGTAACATCACCTTCATTAATTATCTTCAATCACATTTTGATTTTACAGATATGGCCTCTGAGTGATTTTGGATTTCTGCGTGACAGCCCTAATGGCCACAGATTTTCTGATGATTAGCAAGCATTTATTTTGATCTGATTACTGTCTCCTGTTCAAGTTAATTTCTTATTGCTACTGAAACCATGTACCTAATAATAAACTATTTGTATTCAGCTTTAGTTATTTTTAATTGGGAAAAATAATTCAACACACACTGTGAAAGCTACAGTACTTCAAAATATATGGATAAAAATGTAACCCCAAATCATTTAAATTTTGATAGAGTTAAAATATTTTTAGGGGGAAAATCTGGATGACTACCTCACTGAATTTTTTGTTTTATAGGTAAAATGAGAGTATCTCCTCTTGAATATGCCTCATACTTTAGCTACATTTACAAATCAGATTAGTGTCATTTTTAAGTCTAACCCAACAATAAATGCCAGTTTGTTCTAATAAAAAGTTGCTATGTCACATGCTTTGCTTACTCATTTGAAATAGAAGTTTAAACAATCCCCAAAAGAACCCTAAAGTTCTTTAAATATGTACTCATATTGTACATAGAATATGAACTATATAGAAAAATAAAATCTTAAGACTATTAAAGTCATTAACAATATATATAAAAGTCTGTTTCATCATAACAGCAATGCAGTGGTTTCTTATTCACAAATATAGGCATTGCTACTCTATTTTAATACTTTGAATAATGTACCTGTTTCAAATTATTTTCTTTTAAGCTACCATTTCCTAAATCACATTTAAAGTTGTGGACGGTAGTGCTGAAGAGCATGTTCCCATTAATACTGCCACATGAAGATTTTGAATACAATGCTAAGGTTGAAGTCATGTCTTCTGATTCCAAAGCTATATTTTTTTACAGCTGCCACTTTGCCTTCTTTATTAACTTTTATTTACTTTATTAACTATATCTCATGAAAACCCCTATCTACTCTTTATTATGGGAGAACTAAGTTTATGCTATTCACAAAGATTATAATTTACTTTCAGTGACTTGAGAATTTGAAATAAGTATACAGTAGGCATACAGCTTTAGCAGCTAGAAACATCATCTATTACATCAAAAATGTAGTAACTACAAAGGCACATGATAATCCTATGACCCATTAAAAAAAGGAGCTATGAGTATTTAAAAAACAAAATTTTTATTTTGTACCAAGGAAAAAAGGAACCAATAATAATACAAGTTCTCAGATGGGAATTTATGAAATATAATTTATAGTTCATGTTCTCCCCTTTTTGGTGACCTGTAAAATATAAATTATAAACACACAGAAAAACCTAAAATGAATTTTCTATTAATATGCGGTGGCCTTTGTTTGACAATTTCATATTTTCTGTGCAAATATGAGCAGATTGAAAAAGAAGCCCACTTCTTATCAGCTTTATACATTTGCTTGATGCACAAAGTTGGAACGGATTTTTCTCAGCCTGTCTGTATACACAGTGAAAGAAAACATTATGTGAACAATTTCAGCTATAATGAAGTATTTCTATAATTAGTGAACATGTATCACAAGAAACCAGGGTAACTTCCTCTGCTTCCTCCTTGGAAACACTGTATGTTCCACCACATCGGCAACTTAGAGAAAAAGAGTGATCATCTGCAAAGAAAACAAAAGAACACTTTAAATGAGTACAGTGGGTCCTCCCTGGTGGCGCAAGGCGTTAAGATGCAACCTATGAAGCTGTCCTCAGTCAATGCAGCATGAGTTCGATCCCCAGCCAGGGAGGTGGCCCACATGGAGCAGCAGACCTCTCCTGTCTCACCCGCTGCTCCCCTCAGCAGTGTATTTCTGTCAATCCGCCTGTTCGGTTTCCCACTCTGTCTCTGATGAATCCTCTCAGGCTCTGCACCTCTGGGCTGTACCCCAGTTCTTGTATGCATAAATAAATAAATCTTTAAAAAAATGAGTACTAGCATTTTAAAAAATGCTGTTTGTTATACACACACACAAAATGCAAAGCAAAAGAAGTAAAAAATGTATAAGATGTATGTAAATGAGAACTCAAAAAAATATTCTTGTCAAAGGGGCAGTGTTTCTAAAAATCATCTACTGAAGCATCTTTATCTGCACAGGAGATGAGACAAAGCTAAGAATCAATAGTTAAAGTACTTGGGATGACAACATGCTGCAATTAACTTGAAATCTTTGGTTGAGTTCCTCAAAACTCATATAAATTTTACATTCTTTTCAATATGGTATTTGTCAAAAATACTACAATGATAAAAACAGTCCTACCATCTTACTGTTACCGTTTTACTGTTTTTTTTTTTTTTTTTAACCATTTTATTGTTAAGAAGGATGCTTTTGCCTAGATTATATCCTTTTAGAGAAAATTGCTAACTTGACTATTAGCTTCAAGTTTGAATACCAGCTGCTTTGGTATCATATTATTTCAAGAATTATTTCAAAAATACTATGGTGTTTTTGTATGTGTGGAGGGTGTGTGCACCTATTTGTTTGTTGTTTACAAGCAGCTTATGAACCTACAGAATAATCAGAGATACTCAAGGGAAGCAATTTGATGTAACATTCAGCCTACTAATAATGGTGGGTATTTTATTAAATCATCTTCTGGGAAGCTGAATGCTTGAACCTTTGATTGAAAGAATCTCTTATCTACTGGTCAGTTTTACTGTCACTGTGAAATGACTGTCAAAAATAACTATTGATCACATTATTTTTAGACATAAATGATGTCTTTCATAATTTTTACACATAAATGAACTAAGTCTCAAGACATGATTTCCTACAATCAAATATAGTTAATTGTTAAACCTCATTTTTTAACACTTCAAGCTCATATACCAATGAAAGAAAGAAGAAAGGAAAAAAGGGAGGAACGAAGGAAGCAAAATTCAACTGTTTTGTAATTGTTCTCTAACCCAGTTTACCTTGGAAAAATTAATTAAATTAATTTTAATTTTTTGAAAGTTTCTTTTATTAATTTAAAAATCATGTACTCATTCACTCAAGCCTGCTTTTTATTTTATTTTTTGCCACAATGCTTTTCTTCTCCATTTAGAAAAATGGAGAATTTTAAAATGCTAACATCTTCCCCGTGGAAGGTAACATACATATTTCGGACAGCATACTTTCACAGTGAATTGTTTTGGTTTTTTTTTTTTTTTATTATTAAATTGTTTAACAATGTACATACCCTAACCATTCCTGTTCTTAAGCTAACTCTCTTGTTTTTTTTACTACCTCAGTGAATGGGGAGAGAGAATCTGAGGTGACGTGGACTCAGTAAATGAGGCAGATCCCATCTTAGGCTACTGTGGGGTTTTGTCACAGACGATTCCAAATATTAGTATTAATGTTCACTAAAAACTCACATCTTGTTAAATTTCTTCTTATTCGTCCGTCATTTCACAAAGTGATATCGTCACATGAATCATTTTAAATATACTTAATGAAGATGCACAAAATGAAGTTACATGACAGGATAACTGCAAGGGGAAAGATTAACTTCAATCTCCTAACAGTTTTTCAGGTATGCCTTTTATGCATAAGGTAACACATTGTTTCCTAGAGCCCTTGGATTGAGAGGCTGACAATTTGGCTATTTTTATCTGTAGGGTTTTACCCACTTCTTTCTTGTAGATTTTCACTTGGAAAATGACCAATTAAGGAACCCTCCATTTTTCACTTGCCCAGTTGATCATATTTTTATTTAACTTCATCTGCTGAGACTGTTCAATTGCAAGGAACAATTCAAAATTGCAAATTCAATTGCAAAACTTACATGGCTGGATTTTAAATATTCCTGCAAGAATAATGGCATGCAGCTGCTCAGTATTTTCTCTCACAAGGATAAGGATTATTTCCGGCTTTACAATTATAAAAAGCCCTTAATTTAAATAAGCTTCTAAGGACATCCTATACTTTTAAGATTAACTGTAGCTGCTTATAACTGATTCATTGGTTGTGCTTAGGTCTCTTCTATATATTTTTTACAGTCAAGTTTAGGGAGTCCCAAGGACAACAACACACAATAACTCTTGATGATTTCACATTGTACATTTCCTTCAATATCTTGGCATGTTCCCTTGTATCAGAAAGCTCACATATTTGTTGATGGCACAGATGCTTGAACCACCGATGCCTATTCTTTATTTAAAATGTGTTGTTATACTTTTAAAAGATTACAGAAGGACAATTTACAAAAACCAGGTTTCACTATTTTCACATTATAGGAACCATTAGTAAACAAAATAGATTTGACCTATCAACTACAGGAAGAACTAATTTATCCAAAAAGAGATTGAATGCACACACACATAACTGATAGAGGAGGTGGATGCACTGTATTTTTAAGAAGTATTTTTAGCTGAATGGATCTTCCTTATTGATGACATATTCTACTCCATCCCTTTCATGACCTAGCAGTGAAAGTCAATGTCACTAGTCTATGTTCATAGCAATAGCTCTTTCTGTTATCTCTGATGAAATTATCACCATCACTGACCAGGAAGCCTCAAAACACAAAACCTCAAGTTTTTCAATCATTCACTGCAAATGAGAATTTACCCTAGGATTTCAATTGGGGGTTTAGCAGCAGTGTAGTCCTTAGGCAAAAACATACCGACCAAGTAATAGAGCTTGTGCTCCAACTTTCTATGAGCACTCATAAGAATTTGCCATTAAAAAATATCCTAGTTTACTTGGTTTCAGGAAGAATGGCCTTTTTTATCTTTTACGTATTCCCAATCATTAGTAAATTTTTATAGACCCATAGGGAATCTGTACCCCAGGTTGAACAGTAAAGTTATAAAGTATATATATATATAAATTCTAGGAAATAGTAAGATTTTCTAGAGAAACATGGAAGTGCATTGCCTTCTTAGTTAAAGGAGAAATTTAAAAAATTTTAAATTCTAGTAATAGGGACGAGGGAAAGACATAACTTCATGAGGTTTAAGAGGAGTAACAAATTTTTGTTGCTTCCTAGTACACAGTCAAGAGGCGGGTACATCCAAACTCCATTAGACAAGACCTGATATTTCTATGCTTCATATAAAGAAACAAACAAAATTCACAGGAATTCTTCTAAAGTATTAAATAAGGCTGGGGAAAATGATCTTTAACTTTTTTCTCATATTACACAGAGTAAACAAAAAACCAGAGTAGTTTAATAACAAAAACCTTATGAAACCTTCTGTCTCTAACATCTAATTAGAATGGGAAAAATAACTGGAAATGAGTCACAAAGGGAGATATCAATAATTAAAATTTAGAATGAAATAAAAATTCTCTAAACCAAAACACCACACACATATATAGAAAGCCAAGCTATTATTTCTTTTTAAGATTTCCAAGTATCCTATGAAGGTCCTTTTGTTTCCTCACAGAAAATCCCCCATGTTTTTTTTTTTTTTTCAGTATAGTCAAGAGAGAGAAAAAAAAAACCCAACCTTCATTCCAAGACATTTCTTCAAGATATACTTGAGCATCTACTGGTCCCAAATTTCTTAAATCATTTTCTGTAAAATACAAAATGAGTGACTTAATTTTGGTACTTTAACCATGGAGAATGATGGGAAGGCAAGTCCAGTGCCTTCACTACAATTCAAACTTAACATTTAAAAGCTTTCTACTTTTTTTTTGAAAAAAAAAAAAAAAAGATTTATTTATTTATTAATACAAGCACTGGGTACAGTCAGAAGCACGGGAGGGTGAGGTGAGAGAATTCACCAGAGCCAGAGCTGGGAACAGAACAGGCAGACTGACGAAATACATTGCTGAGGGGAGCAGTGGGTGTGGCAGGAGAGGTCTGTCGCACCATGTGGGACCCTCTCCAGCGGCCAGGGATCTAACCGGCACTGGAGAGGCTGGGGGCAGCTTCACAGCCCAGCACTCAACCACTGCGCCACCAGGGGAGTCCCAGCTTTCTACTTTTGACAGCAGTTTTAAGGCAATCTGAATTCAGCTAACTGAAAGACCCAGAACATATCAGTTTTAGTAATCTTTAACAGTAAAAATCTACCCCATCTTTTAAAAATATGCAACATGAGAAGCCTTGAAGTGGATTTTGGTAATTCCTTGTGATATTCTAATGATCTCTATTTTGTGATAGGAAAATTTTTTTGTATGATAAAGTATATCTAACTAAGAAAGACAGTGTGGAGTTGGGTAAAAACTCTATTTGAACCTCAGTTGTAATATTTTACTAGTTTTCTAACCTGAGGCACAGTGTGTTATCTCTTCCCTATCAACCTTAGAAGGGCTGCTATGGCCTGAATTATGTCTTCCCCAAATTCCTATCTTGAAGCCCTAACTATCCCCCAATTGTTAGGAGCTACTTATGGTTAAATGAGGTCACAAAAGTGGGATCCTAATTTTATAGAATTGGTGATCTTATAACAGAGAGGTCCCTCCACAGTCAAGTACCAAATTAAGTATCAGGAGAGACAAGGGGCTTTCTACATGCCAGGAGGAGAGTCCTCGCCAAAACTATATTGACTGGCACCTTGATCTTGGACTTCCCAGACTACAGAACTTTAAGAAATGAATTTCTGTTGTTTAAGATACCTGTTTAAGGACTTTTTTTTTTATGGCAGAGCAAATTAATATGATTATTCTTCTAATCAAATGAGATTAAAGTACTTTGAAGAATAAAGGTGTATCCAAATGTAAGTGGCTATTAGTCATCTGATTTTTAATTGCTTGCAATAGAATACAAGCAACTTAAAGCAAAAATTACTTTAAAATATTTCAAGAGCCCTTTAACACATCTGTATTGTATTGATGTTCCATTGCTGTTTTCTGGGTCCAAGTTTTTCCTAATAAAGAGCAGGTCCAAAGAAGCCTGGAAGTCCACTGACCTGAGTAAGAATATGGCCTAGGTAGGAAAAGCATGTACTCTTACTTAAAACAAGTGTACTTTGGGACAAAGAAAGCAACTATAGATGAGAAGCACTTGTCTTTGTTTTTAAAGGCATGTTATATTTCCTGTATGCTTGTATTGTTCTTCTAGAAGTCAATGCTAAAAAGAAACTACTCAAATCCACCCCCTACCCCAATGAAAATTTCTTTAGCTGTCTCACTAGTCTCTTGTTCACTTGCTGAGAATGCTTTCCTTTGTTCTGTTGTGTGAATGCCTGCAATTTAATTATATTTAATAACTGCCTGTTCAAAATTTATTGGTGAGTTACACAATTTTAAAATAGATGAAAAGATTATACAATATTTTGAACTCACCATAGATTTATATTAAGGTATGTCAAATATTATATTACTTTACATTTACTGGGTATCAACAGTCTATTAAACTGTTCCTAAAATTCAAAGATATAGACATATGCCCAGTGGTCAAAGACAGATCCTCTATTTACACGTGCCCACTAAAGGGCTTCTGTGGACTTTATCAACATGCTAAGTATTTTCTGAATACAACAACTGAATTTCTGCATTCCACATGAAGTATACTTGACAGCAGATTACTCCGTATACTTAAATTTAAGGAAAAAAATTCTGCCTAACAATCTCACAGATGGAGGAAAAAAAGCTGTTATCATGTTTTAATTTCTTATTCAGGAGGACCAGAGCAGTCTCCTTGAATGGAGGAAACACTGTTTTAGATTTGAGGCATGGGAGTACTTGGTACTGAACAGTCATTTTAGGAGGAAAACAAGTAAATAATTTACAGTCAAATTGTATATATGCCACGGTATCTTACAGATTTTTAAAGTAGTTTTGATATCAAAGCAATCAGACAAGGCTATGGCAATGACAAGATAAATAAATAAACCTTATTCTTACCTATCCTGGACACCTATAACATATTAATTGTAAAAATAGTGAATCTCGGGCCTCCCCAGTGGCGCAGCGGTTGAGCGCTGGGTTGCGAAGCTGCCTGCAGCCTCTGCAGCGCCGGTTCGATCCCAGGCTGCTCCCCGGCCACCAGAGGAGGGTCCCATATGGCGCGCAGACCTCTCCTGCCACCCGCTGCTCCCCTCAGCAGTGTACTCTGGTCTTTCTGCCTGTTCTGCTGCCCGCTCTGGCTCTGGTGAATTCTCTCACCCTCCCGCGCTTCTGACTGTACCCAGTGCTTGCATAAATTTATGAATGAATGAATGAATGAATGAATGAATGAATGAATCTTAAAAAAAAAAGTGAGTCCCCGTTATGGTATATTTATTTTATTGTTTTTTAAAAATTTATTTATTTATGCATACAAGAGCTGGGGTATAGGCCAGAGTTGTGGGAGGATGAGAGGATTCACCAGAGACAGAGTGGGGAGCAGAACAGGTGGATCCACTGAAAATACACCGCTGAGGGGAGCAGTGGGCAACACAGGAGAGGTCTGCTGCGCGGTGTAGGTCAGCAACCTGGCTGGGGATCGAATTCATGCTGCAGTGGCTGTAGATTGCTTCATAGTGCTGAGACTTAACCCCCTGTGCCACCAGGGAGGCCCTGGTATATTTATTTTAAAATAATATATGATAACTATCTAGACAAATACAACTGCCAGACAAGTCAGTTTCATATTGTTCTATGTACTGGGAAGCTATTGTTTTTCCTCACCTAGTCACTATTTCATGTGAAACCCTTCTTGTTATTCTACCTAATTAAAAAATTGACTTCTACATTTTCACTATTTTTTCTTCTTTAATTACAGGGACTGCACATAAAGGAGAGTTAGAGTAGCTACCTATTCCTTAGCTGAACGGTTGTATCTTATAAGTAGTACCGTCCCCAAAGTCAGTGTTAAAAGGAATATATAAAATATTCTTTCGTTTTTGTGGCTGCCTAAACACTGATTGATTGATGCTTCTGTGGTGATTCTGGTTTTAAGTCAGTATCTGACACTAAAGAGACCATACTATATAAATGCCCATTATGGAAAATGAAATAAGCAAAATTACTTAGTGGTGTTGGGTACGGGGCAGTGAGTGGTGACTAGGAGTCACAGGAGACTTCGGGTGCTCATTAGATGGGCATGTTTACTGTGAAAATCCACCACGCTATACATTTAGGATCTTTGTACTTCTCTGCGCATATATTCTCTGTATTACACTTCAGTACACTTCTTCTGCGTTATACTTCTCTGTGTTACATTTCAATAAAAGATTTAAGGGTAGTGCACTGGGACTCTAATGATACAATTTTTCACAGAAATAAGAAAAATTAGGGGAGATAATAGTCTCAAATAGGCTAGGGTGATTAACTCAGGGGAAAACCAAATCCCTCAAGAACTGTATAATGAACAGGGAGTACATACAAGTAAAAGGTGAATCTAAATGGGGAGGGGAGAGAGGAGGTGACCAAGATCCTTTGTTGAGAGGCAGGTGTCCAGGGAATGGGGCAAGAGCAACACCCGACCCCCTCCACTATTATTACAAGGAAAGAGCACAAACAAATCAATGTTGTTGTTTTTTCAACAATAATCTCTGCTTGTCCACCATTGTAGTTATAATTAGAAAACTTAATTCATCCCTAGCCCTTAAAGTAACTCACAGGAACCCTGTAATTAGCTTTGATAATTGTCTACTAATCAGGCATGGCATCTGCAAAACAGATAAGTTCCTTTTCTTTTGAGTATAACATTATAAATATTTTTGTCTATTACAATGAAATATTTTAATAGATATATGAAAATGTAAATTCTACCTCAAAATTCTCCTGTTAATATAACACTACTAAAAGTGTTGCGAAAACAGACTTAGAAAGTCACTAAATTAAAGGAACAAATCCAAGATGTAAATCTGAAATTGTAGCTACGGAATGGTAATAAGTGGAAAAAAAAAAAATCTAGACATTTATAAAGAAAATGCATTGCCTAGCATTTGGTGTACTCTATTTTGAATCCAATGACACTACACAATTCCTAATTCTTTTGAAGTGTATGGGTTCAACATTTTTTACACTTTCTAGTAGCAATAAGGTTCAGTCATTCTTTCACACCCTGTGTTGTGCTTGCAAGCTTAGCCAAATATGTAGACAAGAAAAAAATTCAAATACACATACATATAGAAAGCATATATAGATTCTTGAGGACTATAATGATAAAATCAAATAATTTATGTGGTTACTTGAAAAAGAATCTTTCAACCTTTAGAAGTATAGGCCCTTCTGACCTTGTGTTCTATTGGATTTGTCTGACAACAAGAGGTGAAAGAATTCTGTGGCTCCATTGTCTCAACGGTGGGATCTAAGAAAACACTGGCAGGACTCATCAGAGAGGTTTATGAGCCTGCAATTCAAAGAGATTAAAAGGAAAATCTAGGGAGATTCTTTCACACTGAAGAATAACATTAAATAACGATTAGCAGCTTGGTTCAGTAAAGCTTACTAGAGCTCTCGCTGGGTCATTCACAACTTTCTAAAAGAGGAAAGGTTTTTTTCAGCTCCATTTGGGAATCAAATATTTCTTACTTCTTACAAGACAATGGAATTCCAGTCTTTTAAAACTTCCTCCTAATGATAGTAAAATTTCTAAAACAACTCTTTGCTGTCGAAATAATTACACTTCCTAATCCCA